GGATCTAGACGATCATAGGCCCAGAACTCTGCTAAACACAAAATTGAAGATTCTGGCCAAGATCCTGGCGGATCGTTTGAAGTCAGTTGTTACGAGCTTGTTGGGACCCGAGCAGACCTGTGCTGTGAGTGGACGAACATTTCAAAGCAACCTGCATCTGATCCGCACAATCATAGAAGGTTTAAAAGCCTACAAGAGAGCCGCGCTGATCAATTTGGATCAGTCCAAGGCATTCGACAATGGGGACCATCGTTACCTGGCTGCTGTTCTGCAGGCCGCCCGATTCGCTCCCGAATTCTGCAAGTGGACCAACCTCATGTATCGCTACCACTTGCTGTGCTACAGGTAAACGGAAGGCAGTCGGACGCTTTCGATCTGTCTCGGTCGGTCCGACCGGGTTGTCCGCTGTCGCCCTTACTTTAAGCATCGGAGTAGGAGCCCCTTCTTCACCGGCTCAGGGACAGGGCGTGCAGTCCGACCCTACGCGGAATTGTTGTTCCCCCTGTTAAAGCTCAAGCCGGGGTTTCTGCGTACGCCGATGACGTATCGATTTTTTTGTTGTGCCGCAACGACATTAAAGTCGTGCAGAAGGCGCTTGAACAATACGAGAAGGTGACAGGGGCCAAATTTAACCGCAACAAGTCTTTGGGCTTACGGTTGGGTGCCTGGAAAAGGGTCGCGCTCCCGGGGCCCTTTAGTTCTCTGGTGTAAAACGGATGATATTTTTTTAACGTTGTTAGACCTGGCAAGAATGGTTGTGTGGACGTCGCGAAATGACGGAATCTTGCGGGATGAATGCTGTTCGCATCAGGATCTGGTTGTTTTCTTTAAGCATCAGCTTAGGGTGAGGATCAGATCTGATAGAAAGCGCTTGGTTTCGACAGATTTCAACGTAAGGTGGGTGGCTGGTGAACCTGGTTCGTGTGTGTACGGGGCTAGCCTTGATTTTCTCTTCTAAGTCCCCTTCATGCAACAAGTCGGTTACCTCCGAACCCTCTCCTGGTTAATTTAGACACTGTTATATTTTCCTAGTTAATGTGAATAAATGTTGTTCCCGGCCTGTTCCCGGCATTCTCTTTTTGTCATGATCCATGCTGAGATTCCCAACCTCCCCTAGTTTGGTTTTATCCACCATTTCTCACCTCGACGGGGTCAGCCTTTGATTTTCACCTTTCCGTCATTTATTTTTACCCTTTTCATTTCCCCTAGTGAGTGTGCTTCTTGATTTTGTCTATCGACAGAATACAGCGGCCACTCTTATTATTCCTTTGAGGGATGGTCGGGTCCTACTAACATTGTTTTGTTTTAGTTTTATCTTTGTGTTTCATTTTAGTTTATTTTCTGGTTTCATCCTTCCACCCCCATCATTTAATGAATCATGGAATTTTATTAAAAACAAACTTTATGGACAATGTAATGGATTTAAATTTTTACATCATGGGATATTTTGTAGGCCTCCGGTGAATATGCGGTATTTTGGTGTATGCTGGATTAAATGGTGATGGGTGAATCGTTGTGGTGAATGGACAAATTGTAATGAATGAATGAGCCGTGATTGTTATTAACTACGACTAGGATAGCTAATAAAAACCAGCCCCTCCCCATTTCCCCTTCGCCCTTGTACCACAATTTTGTATTTTTACATAATAAATAATCATATTAAAATATTTAACTAAGTTTTAATAGTTTTTGAGATATTTTTTATGGACTGGCTGAAGTTAATATTAGGTTAAGATCTCTGAAATCTAATAAAACTATTTTTTCTTTTTGTCCATAATATATATTGAAACATGGGTAAAGGGAAGGCTCTAACAACTGCTGAAAAACAGAAAATAACAGAGTTATTGAGTGAGGGAACGTAAATTGAAGCCAGTTATAGCTAAACAACCACTTTTGGCCAGAGCACCGAACTTCGAAAAAACTGGAAATGAGGGCGTCAAGAAGAACAGAATAATTTGTGAATTGGAATCTGTAAAAAAAAATCTCCTTGGAAACCTCCACTTATTAAAGCAAATATTTTAAAGCGTCAAATTAGGGCCAACAGATACATGAAAATTGACTTTTCTAAAAACCGACGAATCTCGAGCGACATTTGATTGACCTGATGGATGGGTTTTATCCAATTCAGACGTGCCTATGGTTAAAAGAAGGCAACAAGGAAGCAGTAGTGTCATGATATGAGCTGGAATTATCGACCAAACCAATACTGGATCAGTCAAAAATCGATGGAGAAATTAAACTGAACAGGGCTAACTATTGCGATATTATAAGCAAGGCTTCTTTTTTTTTTCTTCTTTTTTTTTTTTTTTTGCATCGTACAGTCCCGCAGTTTGAAAGTGAAGTGTGTATTTATGCATGACAATGCTTCGTGAATCTAAGCTTACCCGTGAATTCCTTGAACAGAAAAGGTTTACAGGAGAGAAGATAATGGAATGGCTACCATCAAGTATTGATCTTAATCCGATCGGAAATCCTTGGTCAATTGTGAAAACGAAATTATATGAAGGTGGCAAACAATATAACACCAATGAAAACCTATGGTAAGCAACATGTCGAAAATTGAACCTTTTCATTGGATAATAGATTATTGGCTGTTATTGAGAAGAACTGTTAATATATTAAAATGTAAAGATTCAACGACTCATTATGTGTTTGTTATTTATTCGATTATAGGTTTTTTGATGATTTTATTACCTTTTTATTGAAGTAAAATGTGATTATTTAGTTTTGCTTAATAACTTCAGACGGCAGTTTTTAGAATACATCAAATAACTTCAATAAAACATATTGATACTACCTAAAATGGTAACTCAGACTTAGTTTTGACATCTAAATTGATTGCTTAAAATTTGACAATTTTTTTTCAAAATAAATTTAAATTTTTGAAGTCTATATGTTTTGCCTTATAACTTCAGACAGGGCGTATATCCCAATCTACCTTGCTTTGTAACTGATAGCTAGAAATTCATGCACACACACACACACACACATATATATATATATATATATATATATATATATATAGTCATTCACCGACAGACTGTTTCGCTGTATCACAGCTCATCAGTGTGTCTAGACATCCGATTGCTTCAAGCCGGGATCGAAACCTGACCGATTTGGCATCAGTCAGAGATTCTAGCCCCAACCTATAGTCCCAGGGCACAGAGTAAGGGAAATTTTAACGTCTTTACCATACGAAAGATATCAGTAGCTAGGAGAGCTCAATTCTACTTGAAGAGCATTGCATTAGCAGCAGCAGGCACTATTTATAAAATCCCTCTTTCCTCTCCGAGAGCGCAATCGACTTATCCGAGAGCATCCACATACAGACTGTTTCGCTGTATCACAGCTCATCAGTGTGGGTAGACATCCAAATGTTTCAAGCCGGGATCGAAACCTGACCGATTTGGCATCTGTCAAAGATTCTAGCCACTAGCTATATATATTATAATGTATATGTAATTATAAGTTTGCTAAGTATATGTAATAAAGATATTTACTTTAAAATTAATCTCTATGCCATAAAAAATATATATTAAAATTTTTTCTTACAAAAATCAAATGAAAAGTGTAGCAAAATTATGTGAAAATATCCTTTCCTTGCTATCCCCCAATTATGCAATATTCACTTGGTTTCGTCCACTAATTCGCTATATTTTTTTTAAAAGCTGAATGTAGAATTTTCTCATTGGTTCGCCTGATCATCAGTCTGAAAAAGAAAATAAAACATGTCATCTTAAATTCAGAACATATATGGAAATAGAATGGAAGCCAATCACCGTTCTGCTAAAATGCATTTATCGCGGGTTCGAATAAATCTACATGGATATGTCTGAAGAGTTCCAGCTAAGCACAGAGTTCTTCCATTCAAAAATAGTGGAATTTAGTATCTTTTTGGCTTTTATTTACACTTGAATATATATTTTTCAAGAAACATAATATACCACTAATGCACAAGCGAGCTATTTGGAAACATAAAATGCAATATTGAGTCTATTGAGTTATATCTCATTACAGGTCTTTAAGTTCCTCTGCGCGCACACACACACACACACACACACCACACCCATACCCCCACACCCACACCCAAACACACATATATATATATATATATATATATATATATATATTCAGACCATGAGACCCTGGTTCGAATCTTACCATGTTCGATTTGTCAAGACGTGACATTTTGCTAATATCGGTCTGGTGAAATCATCTCTGCGTGCAGAAACTTAGAGAAATGCTTCACCTAAACTATGTTCGGTGACATAGGGACGAAACGATACTGAAGCCGATGATTTTTGTTCTAACACGAAATTACAAGTCATCTTGACTGAGGATTTAAACGTGCTGGGCTTATTCATCTTACTAACCATGATGGTTTATACGCTCTCTTCCAGAACCTTCCGTGACTCATATAACTTCCCTAGAGTTTCAGTATGAACCTGTTTTTCCCCGTGGATATCGAAGAACCATAAATGTTTGAAGAAAAACAAATGTTTGAAGAAATATAAACACTTGTTTAAACATTACATTTTGAAGAAACAAATAAAGACAAATTTTATTGAGGGTTACAAAGGACAAGAATTTGTGGAGAGCCATAATCACCCACGTGCTGAATGGACACGGCGCATATCGGAGGAAAGCATTATCCCCTCTCTGAGGCGTGTGTTCAATAATATATATGAGGTTGTTTTTGTGAAATTATTTAAATATAATCAGTATTAATTTAATTTGCCGAAAAGTAAATATTAGTAAATGATTGATTTGTTTTGTACGACTTACCAACACTTTGCGGGTTATTTAAAAGCTGAGAATATTTTTTTCAGATTGAAAGAATTTTTTGTAGGTAATAATGATTTACTAATAAAAGTCCTACCAAATAAACTATAGCTGGGAAAGAAGGGGTATTTTCCCGGGTGTATTTGCACGTAAGTAAATATAACGATACCCAATTCCGAGACGTTATCCATTACACCACACATACATCCAAGATTAAAGCATCGACTGTTCCCAAGCGGTTACCCATCGAGGTACTAACTTGGCTCGAAGTTGCTTAACTTCGGTGATCGTACTAGAATCATTGTTTCAAAGTGATATAGCTGTAAACACACGAATAGTGATCGTAATCCAATTATTGTTATTAGCAATATAAGAATTTTTTTAAAATTTCTATCGTTTATTTGGAATTATTTTCTCAGCTAAAGTGGAACCCCAAAAAAAGATTTCGGCATAAGCTAAAACCTGTATTCCCACTTTTGTAACCCTTGTGGGGTCACTTACCTCATAACACTAGAAATAGCCTCGTGTTCATATGGTTATAAATACTTCACAGGAATGAAACATACACAGAGATAGCAGTAAAATCATGGTATGTTGTAAATCAAAATCATACAATGTATTTATTGTTTGTGTACTGGTGTGTGTATTTTTGCTTACATATGTTTTGAGGTAGCATGTGATAAAAGGAAGAAGTCACTTCGTATTGTGACAAGCAATGTTCTGGAGAGAGAATTTGGGATGTCTTGAATGTCCAAAGGTCAGCAGAGAAAAGATTGAATTGAAGTCTTTTGGCGCGCTATCCGTTCCACCCCACCCCATTTTTATTATTCTTTATTTATTTTAAACAGCGTTTTCATGTTATTTGTTTTATTTTATTTTATTTATAATTTTCATTATTATTATTTTATATTTTATTTCCATTTATTAATAACAATAATATCCCAAAACCTATGACATTCAGTACTATGAAAATGTTAACACAACTTTTCATACTAATTTCTTTGAACATGTAAAGCGAGTGATCTCATTCAAATTAAATTAAAATAAATACATAATTCAATATCAGACAAAGGAAATTCATATGCATATTCATCCAACGAGCAATGTCACAAAAACTGTAATGCCACTAACGAGGCTACAGAACCTGATTAAAATAAAAACAATTTAATGGAGTCTGTCTGCTTTTGTCAATTTGGTAGCATATATTATTTTTCTAAAATTTTTTAAAACTAATTTTATTTCTTCATCAACAACATGGTTTGGGAAATAATTGTTGATAAGTGTTTGTTTAATGATGTTTAATTCGCTATAAAACAATGAGTCCGAATAGGAATTCCTTTTGGCACGATAAATCAGGTTTCTTTAACACGTATTTTATATCTGTGTGGACATTTGCTTTTACAATTAACAACACATGAACTATGAAACTATGAATAAATAAATATAAAGACTCCATTCAGAGGTTTTATTAGCACGCAATTTTTAATAGTATGTCTGGTATATATTATAACGATTCATTGAGCCTCCCTATCTGCCTGTTCGTCTATCTATCTATCTATCTATCTATCTATCTATCTATCTATCTATCCTTTTTTCATTATCTGTCTCAACTTTATCATTATATATCTATCTATATGAGCTTTTTCATTATCTATCACTCTGTCTCTCTATCTCTCTCTTTCTATCTATCTAAACTTTTTCATTATCTATCTATAAATCTATCTATCTGAGTTTTTTCATTATCTATCTATCTATCTATCCTTTTTTCATTATCTCTCTCAACTTTATCATTATATATCTATCTATATAAGCTTTTTCATTATCTCTCTTTCTCTCTCTCTCTATCTATCTATCTGAGCCTTTTCATTATCTATCTATATGTTTTTTGCGTGTGTATATGTAGAGATAGAAGGTTACGATTGTAACAAATAAATATAAACGTAATAAAATGTTTAAAAACCAACAAAGTGCATACCTATAAGTGTGAGCCTATTTGGGTTTACAGTTAGTCTGTTAGGTACTATGCGTGGTACACGCTTAGACGATCATGTATCTTTCGATGCAAAACTGACTAGGCGGATTTTTTTCCCGCAGTAGGTTGCCATTTCTTTCTGCTGTAGACCAATTGCAATTCAAACTCTGTCCTGCTATTTACCCATAGCTGAGTGGAGAAGAAAATAATTCATACCTTTCCCAAGCACGTAAATGAATGTAATCGATTCGACTGAAATTCGAAATCGGCTATCCATTACTCTGCCGTGCCTCCTACAGTAGACAGTATAAACGTTGATTACAATAAACATCCCTAATTTCCAGATACGACTATGTTCATAATTGATATTATTAAGAGCTGTTTTTTTTTCTTATACAGGATCTCATATTAGCTCTGTTTTGACGGGATGGTAGAAATATTTACGAAGAATTCTTTCGTTGTAGTCAGATTGTCTGATATAATTCCCATTTCACTCTTGTTATATAAGACAGATCTCCGGTTCCTATCAAAGAATACATGATTCAAGGTTAGGGCAGAGAATATATCTGTTTCCAACTCGTACTGCTGCAATGTGAGAGAGAGAGAGCCAACAAATGGAAGGACAAAATAATGCTAGAGCGCTTTTGGTTCGTGGTAATGATTTTTGTGACTCAGAACCTACTTTTAAACCCAGGGTCAATACCTTGGTTACAGGCACTACTGTTTTTCTTGTATCAGTCTTTGTCTGAATTTACACATTCATTTCCACGATAATCCACTGAAATTGTAGAGAATTTTGTTTTTCATTTTGCCCCATTGGTGCCATATGGAACAGTGACTTTGAAGTGGATGTGCAAATACACCTTTTCCCTGCTAATGCAAATTTTGAACAATTTACCTGACTATGATTTTGGTCATTTCACGTGGTAACAACAGTTCCCGTAAGATCCCCGAAATTAACGTCGGGCCTGGTCAGTAGCTAGATGGGTGACCTCTTTGAAATACCAGGTGCTGTAAGCTTGGATTTATGGATGGTGCAATGGATAATGGCTGTGAAATTTCAATCGGTGTGCTGTGTTCCATTTCTCGTTGGGTTCATTATATTCACTTACATTCAAATACCCTTGGAAAAAAGGTATGAATCCTCCTCCCCCTAGCTATGGGTTAATTAACAAGACTTATATCAGTAATAGAATTAATATGCCAAAAAAAAAACTCTTACAATCTAAAAATATTTTCTGGCTTTTAATAACCTGCAAAAGTTTCATAAACCGTAGAAAATGAAACAATCAATAACGAAAACTATTTGCATCCGTTTATTTGGAAAAAAAATAGGTGCGTCAAATATAAAAATGTGTTTTAATGCCTCAGGATTTTTCCAATACATATATATATATATATATATATATATATATATATATATATATATATATATATATATATGTGTGTGTGTGTGTGTGTGTGTGTGTGTGTGTGTGTGCGCGCGTGTGTGTGTATGTGTGTGTCTGCATAAAATTCACATGGAGTATATATGTAAAAGGACAATAAGAACAAAATAGCCACTATACAAAACCATCTCTCCAATCGGAACAACATGAAAATAATTACAACTGCATCCAAAACTATCATGGATATGGTCAGAACCAAAAATACCTACAACAATAATAACAACAGTCCGTATATAGGAAATAAATTACAAGAACTGTTTTTCACAATATATTGGGGAAACTTGCAGAAATTTAAACAAAACCTATCAATCAACATAAAAGAGACCTTAGACACAACAATTTATTAAATGCATTAGTTATGCAAACAAATAAATTCAACCACAACTTTGAAATAGCAAATGCCGCAATTATTAAAAAAGAAAGTAACTTAGAAGGAAAATTCTCAAAAGTGCTGCTATCGAATTTTATCAAAATATAAATCTGCGACCCAGATTATTCCCAATATCTCCTTTCCGGAAAGAATTACTGTTTTGTCAAGCCAAGATGCATGACCATAGAAATACTAAAAAAATGAAAAAGATTTATAATCTCATGTTATTCAAAATATATAACATATAAATCAATCTAAATCCAAAATAATTTAAATACTAATTTACGTATATATATATATATATATATATATATATATATATATATATATTAAAAAATCTACTTAGTTTCGTTTATTAGGCATTGAATTTTATCACATCCTGTCAATGAACTTGCCTAACTTTTCCGCTAATCTGATGAATATTTATGCTATATCTAAAGCCAAAAATTTTGAAAAAAACAATTCTTTCATTTACCGTGATAAAGTCCCTCTGACTACGAAATGTGTCGGCTAAGATAAGTTTTTTTTTTCTTCAAATTCGTCAAATTCATACATGAAGTGTAAACATAATTTTCAATAATACATAATAATCGATGCAGTTATACAGAGCAAAGATATATATTAATTATACATATACGTGCACTACGTTTTGGTGTGCGACTAAAGTTTCGCTGGATTACCAACTCATCGGGCACAAGATTTATGTTGGTAAAAGCCATAACCCATTTGTTTACTTTTAACAACATAGATCTTGCGCCCGACGACCTGGTAATCGAACAAAACTTTAGACTAATATGTACTAATATATATATATATATATATATATATATGTGTGTGTGTGTGTGTGTATGTGTGTGTAGATTGTTAGATAGATTTATCACATTAATATGGCAACAAAGATGAGAACAATAGTCCGAATAATGTAAACTGTGTACATAATACCTCATCACAGAAACCTATATATATATATATATATATATATATATATATATATATATATATATATATATTAATCATACGTAGCGTGACCCATAATTCTTTTTTTTTACTGTTTTTTTTTGATAATTTTAATTACTGAAACGGATCCTTTCTCTCTTGAATTATTTATGCCGCTATAGCTAGCAATTCATTGAAAGCAGCGTTAAGCCCATATACAACGTTATCTCTTTCTTTCTCTCTCGAAACGAATATATACAGAGTCGACGTATACCAGAGTGAGGCTAGCCGGAAGTAAACAAAAGTGCAGGTGATTTCTCTGACCGTTGCTGCTATAGCAAGAATTTGTGGAATAGTATTGTGGAATAGTATTACAGGACGTAATGGACGTTCTAAGTAACTTATTAACTAACGGAGAAGCGAGGATATTATTATATGGCGTGCTTCAAAATGCTGCAACCGCGAGCTGCCATAATAAAACCAGTTATCCAATCAAATTGAAAATGCAAACATTTCAAAATCAAGCATAGTTATGTTGATCAAATTTGACTTACTAAATAAAATGGAAATTCATCGATAAATTCTTGCTTACCGATAAATCATGCAGAAGGCCTTAACGAGATGGCGTGAGAAATTTCTCCGAAGACACGTTCTATGATTATAGCGCTAAAAGGGAATGCGCGCGCAGCTAACGGTCAGTGTTACTCTGCCGACTGAATTAGTCTACCAACAGGCTTCGACTATGAGGCCCCGTTTTGTAACTATCTCATTCGATAACTCAGAGTAATTACGATAGCTGACAAATTAAAACCACATGCTTGCATCAAGTTATGCCTGAAGATCCGCAAATCAACTTTTCTTTTTACAGCAAGGCTTACTCTGTACAATACCCGGGATTCACTCGAGAAAGAAGGTTACATTAAGAGGTAGTGTATATGGATAAGAGGGGAAGATAACGGTTGACAAGAAGACGTTAAGATTGTAGTGATCAGCGAAACATCTATTTGACAGTCTCGAAGGGAAGAAGCTGTCTGTGTGGAACTTTCTTCTAACCGATGGAATACGGAGGGAATGTGGGTGATTTGATACTATGTAAGCGGCATGGCGGGTTCTAGACGTGAAGTTCAAACCTGGTCAGATGTAGTTCGCCCGAGCACTTTCCATGGTATTAGCGATAAAGCAGCGAAAGATTCGCCACATTCTGCCTATGAAATCATTCGAAATGCTTTGCGTACACTTTGGTGAACATTACTTTGAACAGATGATTCTCAGTGGCATATGCGTTTCAAAGCTGGTCGAGTGTCGGTTCTAGAATACGAGCGTTCAGAGCAATCAATCCCCAACAGGACCTCTTTCACGAGAAATCTTTCCGGACAATCCAGCAGCTCTTTCACATGAGTGGATTCGATTATGCTGTCTGTCGGGTTAAGAGGGGAAGATAACGGGTGACTCTAGACAAGAGGCTAGCCGGAAGTAAACAAAAGCGCAGGGGATTTCTCTGTCCGTTTCTGCTATAGCAATAATTTTGGGGGAATGCGCGCGCAGCTAACGGTCAGCGTTACCCTACCGACTGAATTAGTCTACCAACAGGCCACGTTTTGTCTTTAATATTGGAGTAATAGACACGTATGTGGCAAGAAAATGCTGAGTTTCAAAACAGAAGACATACTGTTTATTGGAGAGATCGCATAATCTGGCGTGATCAGCAGTTTGAAAATCGCCAGTTTGAATCACTTGATCAAGATCGGTTTGACATAACACAACCTTGGACGACTCCAGATCAGTTTAACCTATTCCGTTTGACTCACAGGACTTGAGACAACCCGTAGAATGGTTTTCAGACACTTTTCAAAGACGTCGCACATTGGACAATTCGCTGATCACTACAATCTTAACATGTTCTTGTCTAGAGTTAATTTCGATTAATTTCCAAAGTTAAGGTAGGGACGTAATTAATATTTAAATGGGTGATCGGTTAGTAACACCAGAAGCAAATTAAATGACCAGAAAAATAGTACTCTATATAAATATTTACTAATAAGCTTTTATTTTTCTGTCACTAGGCTAGATATGGAGAAATTGAGATATAAAGATCTGGCGTGAATCTTAGAATTTTCTTGCGACATACGTGTTTCCATTAAAAGTTGCCAAAGTTTCGAGCTCTGTATTGGGGATGTCAAAATCACGCATGTAAAAAGACTTAACTATATGGGTAGTATCAAACATCGGAAAATGATACATAAATCCGAAAGCGTATAAGAATAGCGAAAGGTACCTTCTAGAAACTAAGTAAAGAATTAAGAAAAAATTATTATAGAAAAAAGACATTGGAAACTAAGAAAATAGTTTTCGAAAGTTATGTAATGACTTATGACCGCTTATAACTATCTGCTAGGACGGATAACCTCTCCTCTCTTGAACACACCCGATCAGGCACACTTGGCTCCATTCAAATCCTACGTTGCCGTATATTCTGTAACTATGCTGTGCCTTAATAACAGTTTATGGGAGAGAGCGCATAATATGGCGTGATCAGCAGTTTGAAAAACGCCAGTACGCTGAAACACTTGATCAAGATCAGTTGTGACATAACACAACCTTGGGCGACTCCCGATCAGTTTCACCTATCCCGTTTGACTTACAGGTCTTGAGACAACCCGTAGAATGGTTTTCAGACAGTTTTCAAAGACGTCGCACATTGTGATCGCGTCCCCAGCTCGATAGCGTCAAGAAGTCGCCTTCCTGAATTATCCTCAGTGACCGTATCCACGTCTCGTGGTATTAAGCAAACGTTCTAGCCACTCATTCACGCGTCTACAGTTATCAGAGTCAAAAAAGCATTAATTTCAGTTTAGCTGCACATTTCAACCAACATGATCGTCCTATTAATAACATTATAGGCGGTTCTTAGCCTTTTCATTTCGCTTCCAAAAAACAACGACGAAGAGAAACGGATATGCATTGGTCTTGATCTAACATTTTGTTTACAGTTAATCTCTGACAGACGTGTGGCTTCCCTTTGTCTTTTCTACAAATATTTTCATGGCAACTACTCTGACGAGCTACTTTCACTGGTACCCCAAGCGCATGAATTTAAGCGTGCTACTAAGTTGTTATCTCGGTCCCACCTTTTTACTGTCGAAACGGCTAAATGTAGCAATCTCGTCTACTACAAGAGCTTCTTATATCGCACCTCCCGTCAGTAGAATTTCTTTCCTATCACTTGCTTCCCTGATAGTATAATCATCAAATATTCAAATGTAA